GGGTGTCTGATGATAGCTAAGACCCAAGCCCAGGGCCACTGCTGTTGTTTTCTTCCTGGCTCTTGTGAACATTAGGGTGTGGTATGGGGAAGGACTCTCGCTCATGCCATGCACATGCTATGTTCATGCTATATTCATGCTATGTTCATGCCATGTTATGCTATGCTTATATTGTCTTCTCTGGCCAAACTTCTCGCACGCTGCCCCAGTGAGTCAGTGACAGTTCCTGTGTGATGCGTTATTTATTGAAAAGCCTCAGTATTTTTGAGGAGCACAGAGTACAGTTCAAAAAACTTGAGCAGGCAAATCACTGCTGTGATTAGCTGATATTAGGAGACACCCCGAAGATTTAAAGTGCTTGTTCTGAGTTTCAAGAAAGCAGCCAAGAAGAAAATGCCTTGCAGGGGTTAAATGCAAATGCCTGGGCTGTAGCCTATTTCTGTCAACACTGTTCAGGAAATAAACATTTATGCTTTCTGAAATGAAAGTGTAGTTTTGAAGACTAGGCATCAGATATTTTTTGCCCTTCATTCACTCTTTTAAATGCTTAACCCTTTTTTGTAAGTTGACTGCAGAGTGCATCAGTTCACCAGACTAGGGGAAAAATATACTTGATGAGTGCTCGTGGAGCTGCCCCGAGCCCCACAAGTTCGTGGCTGGAGAAGGCAGAGGGGTGTGCGGAGCATGCTCTCTGCAAGCTGTCACCTCCAGGGTACCTGCCTCTCGAGAAGGTTTTCAGTCATTGCAAATGGTGTTGCTCCCAACTGTCACGTGGTTTATTTGGGACACACTGCAGAGCACGTGAACATACCATTTCACTCTGGGTCAGGAAGGAGTCAGTCCCACTGAGCAAGATGCCCGGGATACAGGAGACAGCACTGACTCTGGGACGGGATGAAGAGAGACCAGAGTTGTCAGGAATGTGCATTGAGCAGGCTGTGGCTGGAAAGGGAGAAGAAAATGTGCTGTGATACCGGTGCATTTTAAAAAGCAGTAATACAGCTGAACATTTAACACTGCAACCTGTCACCCGCCGAAGATTAAGATCCCAGGACTATAAAACCTGAAGGTCAAATGACACAGCTGCAAAGCATATTCTCTTTCACCCAGGAAAGAGGTTCTCTCCAAAGGTAGCTGAGTGCTGTAGGCAGTGAGGACCTCTGACTTGTAGGCTGGTGGCTATAAACACACACACACACACACACACACACACACACGCACGCGTGCGCGCGTGTGCACACACACTGCCTGGTAAGAGCACAGACAAATGATTATCATTTGGTTAAAAGTTGGTGTAAGCCACTAGATCAATCACATTTTTAGAAAACTTGCTTCAGCTAGTTGGCTGAATCATGCTTTTTTTTTTTTTAGATCTGAGTCATTCAGGTGTTTATAGTTTGCTCAGGTCGATTGATAAGAGCATTAGTTTATCCATGTGTCTTTATGGGTGTTCAATATAGGTAGTGATCCAAAAGGGCAATAAAGTAATTTTACAGAATTAGCATAAAATCTCCGTATTCTTATGAGTGGTGTCTAGTGATCTCCTTTACTGTGGGGAGCCGACCCGGGTGCGTGACACAACTTAACTCTTTTTCATCCCCCGCCCTCCCGCCCCTCTCTCCTCCTTCCAGCTCATGGGTGACTCCCTCTTGGGAAAGCTACATTTCCACTCTATGTCGAATTATTTTTTCCCAGACCCTTTCCCTCCCCCAGGCCCCTTCCATCTCTTCTTTTCCTTCCCATTTGAAAAAGCTCTGCCTGCCTCCTATCTATTTGCGTTTTTATTTTGCTCTTTATTGACTTTTTGCATCCCTTTCAGAAGAGAAAGCAGAATTCTCTTGTGACAGAGCCGGGCAAACCACAGTGAAGAAGAGCTGCTTGCTCTCTGTAGACTGCAGGGGTGGCAGCAAAGGGTTAAACTTTGAGACAGCCATTTCTAGACAGAGTAGAGATAGAAAAGCAGACTTGGGTTTATTTGGTAAAGCACGGGTAGTCCTTCTTTCCTAAAACTTTCACCTTCTCTCAGCCTATACAATCCTCACATAAAGCCAGCAAACTTCCCGGATCTTTTGTGCCCTCAGCTTCCTGATCAAAACCACAAAAAGTATCTTCTCCTTATCTTTTCTCCCCTCTCTTTATTTCAAGGGGAAATGAAAGGAAAAAGTTAGGTTTGCAGAAAGGATAAAGCATCCCCACAAAAAAACAAATGGCAAGAGCAACCTTTAAAAAATGACATTTTATTGCTTTCTGCTTAATTAAACCCCAAAGAGATGCGTGAAACATTGTTGTGGCTGCAAAATTGTTAATTTCTAAATCACAGGGACAAAGGGGCCCGATGCAACTTTAAAGTTTCCGGGCACGTAAATGTCGATAGCGCCTTCTCCATCATCAGCACTAAATTCACATTGATGCCTCTTTTCTTCTCCGTATTGATCCTTCCATGAGAACGTAGATTTGTATCTGTTAATTAATGCGTCCTGAAACAGCGTTTGTATTAATCAGGCAGATAAGAAAAATTGGATGCCTGCACCCCCCTGACAACCGTAAAAGTGCTGGCCCTGATAAAATCATGGATGGACCTCAATAAAAAAGTTCCTCCTTCCACTCAATAAACTAATCATCCCGCTTTTAATTATTCGGCAGAAAGATGTGTGGAGATTGGGGTTGTGTAAATCTATTTACTAACAGCGGCGTCTGGGAGGGAGAGCTGGGCTGTCCCTGACCGTCCGTGGCCACACAGTAACTGCTGCTCGTAGCATGAAAAGGAAGACAGAAGCCAGGGCTGACCTGGGTCCCGGCTCCTGCTTGCCAGGAACCTTCCATCACTGCTGCAAGCCATCATTCATTTGTCACAGATTTGCTTTGCGGAGGAAATCCCCACTCTTTTTTCTTGAGTTAGACATTTGGATTTCCGTTGCGCCTTCTTCTCAGGGGGAAGGGGAGAAGGGTAGAAAAAGAGCACCGTGGGTTTTGGATTTTGTTGTTGCTGAGCGTCACATTCCCCAAGTCAAAAACCCCTGGATCCAAACCAAGTCTTAGGCCTTCACGTTTCTCTTTTGAATCTCCATTCATCTCTGATTTCAGTCCAAATTGCAATGACAGATGAAAGAGAAGAAAAATAAGTACGCAGCTCGGCCAAGAGGACCCGTGTCAGATAACCCGTGAGCACCTTGAAGTGGAGGAGAGGCCCTGTCACGCGCCCTGAAGCTCCCTCAGCAGATCTGGGTGGTGCCCTGGTGATTTTATTCAGCACCATACTGAAGGGTATCGAGTGACTAACCACTAGTTTGCACCCATGTGCCAGGAAGTCATTTCCTCTTACTTATTGTACTGTAACTTCTAATGTGATATGAGATGCTGACAGTTTGGTAGGAATAAAAATGACAGTGACCGTAATAGCAAGGCTGGGTGTAAGCATTCATTAGTGAGTTTGATAACAACGTCTACAAACTGATTTCTTAAGTTGCAGGATTCAACTGTTCCCCATTCTGTGGAAGCGCTGGTGGGAGGACCTTGAGTCTTGCTTTCATAACCCACGGGGGAGGTGGTCATTCTCGGACCCTTGGTGATACCCTTCTTTAGCAGTAAAATGTTTCTTTCTTAGGATTCTTGAAAAAAAGCATCTGACCACCAGGTATCTTCACCAGACTTTCACGTAGAATATGAAGTCTTCTGAGCTGTGCTGCCTCTTCTTTCCTGATGGAACAAAATATTTATGGAAGTTTTATTGTTTGCATGTGTTTCCTCAGACTTAGAAGGGACTTCATGCATGTGTGAATGTAAGCCGTGAGCTATTCGAGATAAAAAATAATGTGTAGTATGGTAAAACTTTCAAACATCTGTTATAAACTCATGTTTCAATGGAGATAAGATTTCCCAAATGCAAATATTAAGGTAAAGTTCATTGACCTGCTCAAGGTTAACTAGCTAAGATCTAAATATTCACATCAGGGTCTAGCTGTTCTCATGATCATTCCACCACACCCAATTTTATTATTTTAATTCACTGAGTTTATTGGTTCATTTTAGGTATACAATATGATGCCATTCATCTCTGGGAATTTGAACCTATACATGATGTACCTTGGTCCTTATTTTTTCCCCACTCCCCTGCCCTCCCCTCAACCCCTCTGCCCCCTCCCTATTTACAAAGACTTTGTTTCTGTTTTTTTCATTTTCTCATATTTTTCCTCCCTCCCCACTACATCCCCTAACCCTCCCTTTAGACCTTTTCTTCCCATTTCACTTTATCTGCTAAACATTTTACACCCAATTATTTTTATGTTTAACATTTTAACTAAACCGAGTCTTAGTAATATAAATAAATTGTGGCTTTTCTTTTGGTGATGAGGCCAGGTTCCTAGGTATTCCAATTGATTTTATACCAGTAATCATCATTTAAAGAAGAAATTCCTATTAAATATTAGTGAGGACAAAACACTCAGTCTGCTGTCTCTCCTGGTCACATAACCCACTGTCTTGTGACCGTTACAGGAAATGAGTCCAACTTCCAGTCTGTATGCAACTTATTATAGCCTGTGTGGCCTGTTTTGTTTTGTTTTGTTTTTCCTTTGTAGGTTGTTGCTTTGCTGTTTTGCTTTACTTTTATTGTGTTCACTGGCAGTAGTTCTCCAAAGTCAGGTGGTTGAAAAGCTGACTTCCTGTCATACGTCCACAAAACTTCATCCTGACATCAAATATGGAGGCTGTGTGGGATTTGCTTTGGGAATGCAAGAATAAACATGGCGCCTCTGTCCTGAGGGCCTAGGGCCCTTAGCTGTGTCTGTAAAACCGAGGAAAATACCAGCATGCTGAAGCTGGAGAGTGACTTTTCCTCCGCTGTCCTCAAGGTGACTGGGGGCAAAGGGCTTCTGGCCAGAGCTCACATCCTTGTGAGCAAACTAGAGCGAGCTCTGCGCAGGGCCGCGTGTGTCGGGAAGTAATGTCGGTTATGAAGTGATGGCCGGAAAGTAACCTGATCTGCCCGTCTCCCCGTGCAGGCTTCTCCACGCTGTCCCTGGCCGACCAGATGAGCCTCCTGCAGAGTGCGTGGATGGAAATCTTGATCCTCGGTGTCGTGTACCGGTCGCTCTCGTTTGAGGACGAACTTGTCTATGCAGATGATTATATCATGGACGAAGACCAGTCCAAGTTAGCAGGGCTTCTTGACCTAAATAATGCTATCCTGCAGCTGGTAAAGAAATACAAGAGCATGAAGCTGGAGAAAGAAGAATTTGTCACCCTCAAAGCGATAGCTCTCGCTAATTCAGGTTGGCATTTTGGCATGGTGGTGGTTGCGTTTTTTAATGTCTGTCTTACCCCTTCTCTTCACTTCTGCAGGACTTTACCAGGCCTAGTTTGTGGCTTCCGTGTGAGTCAGCAAAATGAGCGGCAGCGTAGCTTTCTAGTGAAAAGTTAGAGAGGAGAAAAATGCTCTTAAAATTATTCTCATTTTACTTGCGCATCGAAAGAAAGATGTGAAAGGCTTACTTCCTGTTGCACTTGCTAAGGGGGCCGTCACACACCAAAGCTCTCGCAGGAGTGGCAGAAGTGGGCACCCTTGGGCCAGAGTTCACCCCGGTTTTTGTTAAACACAAGTCACCGTGGGTGAGCCGTGGATCTGCCCAAACTACTTCCCCCTCAGAAATGCAAACTTTTGATGGGGAACAGGTAGTTAGTGTCGCTTTTCGTTTTGGCTATCAGAGAATACTCCCCTATCTCCTTCCATTCGGCATCCGGGCATTCACTGGCCCAGTCCCCCCCGCGCAGTAAGGGTTAAGAACGGCGGGATGAACGTGCTTCCGGTTGAGCCGGAGTGTGCTGTAATAGAGAGCGGCCTCTGATAAGTAAAAATCATTAACGCTTTTGTCTTCCCCTTTGTGCCCTCAGAGCGCTTTCTCGTGGCCTGCAGTCCCTCTCCACATTTGCATAAGTTCAGGATAGATCCCTCCACAACAACGTATGCTCATTACATACCTGTGTGTCAATAGCGCGGCCTGATGCGGGGCCGCTGACAGTCACGCCATGCCCGTCCATCTGCTTTCATTGTGACCCTATCTTTGAACTTTATCTTGGTTGCCGGCCAGTAGTTTTCCCTTTAATTACAAGAAGGAAACTGTCAATAAAATCTGTTAAATGGGATGCAATGAGTGGCTTGAATGGGTGGACGGCTATTTGTTCAAATTCTGCAGCATTCAAGGTATTGACAGTTTGTTTTCTGGGGCCATATGTGACGATCAATCTCAGGCTGGGCTCAGCCGCGCTGAAAAATGAAAAACCAGATTGCTTTTGCTTACTTGTGGATGACGACTCTGATTTGGTGCGGTCCTAGTGAGGCGAGACCTTCTGCCCAAATTGCCCCCATGAGAGCCGGGGCCGCGTGACTGTTTTTAGAAATAATTTTTAATTGATTTTGTAATTAACAGTTCATCTGCGATATTGATGCATGAATCTTTGGACTGATAGGAGGGAAATTGTTTTCAACAATGAAGCTGTACTTTCCTATTTGTCTTCATAATGGAGTTTAGCATCTCCTGGCTTGAACCGTCGGTACAGAACCCTTTCCTTCCCATACCACCCACCCCTCTCATTTCACTCCCCCGCGAGGCCGTAACCTATGATTCTTTATGACAAATGGCATTGTTGTTATAAAACTCTCAAGAACCCCTCGCCTTGCTCGCTGGAAGATCAAAGTGAGAGATGCAATAGAAATATTTGAAGATTTATGATTGTGCATGGCTTTCCATTAGAGCTTCGTTCATAATTACACAGAAGGCTCTACAGGGATGGTTTGGGGCAGAGCTCTTACTTGTCATCATGAAACAATTCCAACTTAAAACCTTTCCTTGGCTAATTGTTTTTAAAGTAGAATAAGCATGTTCTACATCTTTTATGTTTCACATCCCTTTTGAAATTATTGGCTATCTGTGCATGCTGAGAAATGCTAAAACTTTACCATTAAAATAGCTAAAAGTTAATAATTTCAGTGTTAGATTATACTTAATGGCTAAGTGTTATAATTCAGAGTGCCTTAATTAGTAGCAGCATTTCTGTGTCTGTTGCTTAGAAGCATAAACATTAATATTGTTGACATAGACATGTTCTGCTCCCTTATACGCTGCTGTCCAGGAAGTGACCGACTTTAGAGTAGTGACTGGTGATTAGAAAGTATTTTTTTAAAGAGCTTGTTGGTTTGGTTTATTTTTCTTGTTTTAAGCCAGAAACAGTTAACAAGCTCTGCCTTTTCTCTTACTCTAGTACTTGGACAGCACTGCTGGTCATGGCACAAATTTTTCCTACAGATGATTATGACATTTTTTAGCCTCTCATTACAAAGAATTAATCAAATTGGACTCTAGACAACAGAAAAAGTGACAGAGTGCTACAAGGACTGTTTCAGTCTCTAAGTTGTACCACCTGTCCAGTGTGGCAAACTTTTTTCTCAGCCGCCCACCTCACGAGTCTGACCTTTTTAGTGTGGAGTAAGCACTCAGAAAGTTGTTTTCTTTCCTACTGTTGATATAAGGCCATTGTATTCCACTTTGACTGTGGCTTGGAGGATGGACATAAAATTCAATCCAGTGTAAGTTTGTTAAAACTACTCATGAGTACATCAGTGTGAAAATGCCTTAATACTTTTCCTAGACACCATGGAAAACTCTTAGATTTTCATGTAGAACTTAGAAATTGCAGATGAATCGAAGTGACTTAGGCAAAAAAAAAAAAAAATCTGCTTTTCTGTTAGTTATGTAGCTGTCTTACCTTTCCCTGAATGGCTGTAGGTGTTTTAACGATGAAATGTCTCATTTATCCAACTTCCATCGTATTTTAAACATCTGTCTTGATTCAGTAATTATAAATGTTCTGCTTATGCTAGGGAAACAGGCAATTGGCTTCCTGATAATGGCTGTCATATTTTTTGTGGCTGTGTTTCTGTCATGTGAGAGTCTAGAATGCAGAACAGCAGACTATCGTGGCGAGAACATCCCCTGTCTTCAGGTGTCTGGGCCACCACAGCAATAGGTGATGAGCTAATACTGCAGTCCTCAAATTCAAGTATCTGAAAAACCTAAATAATAGTTCCAGTGACTTTTGAAGATGAGACATTTTCAGGCTCACTGAAAATATGTGTTCTGTTAGTTTTGAGCATTTGTGACACCGCTGATACAGCTCTGTGGAATCAGATTTAAAAAGAAAAATCTAGGTCACAATTTGGACATTGTGATTTCCCACGCATACACAAAGAGGTTACAGTGTTGTCTAGAATTCTTTCCATTTGGGGAATTCTGTGATTAGTTTTATTTCTGTATTAGAAAATACAGTGAATACTGCTGCATTTGGGGTAAGGTTATGCAGTAGGATTCTAGCCGCTTGACTGGCTTTATTGATCCTTAAGAATTTGTTGAAAACTATTATCACCGGTTTCAAGGTAGGATACTTATTTTTACCTGCAGGGAGATTAAAAATAGTTCAAGGTTAGGAATCACTGTAGTTCTGATCATTCTCTTGTTCATGCCCCGAGACCGTTGGCCTGTGGCCACCCCTCACCTCCCAACTGTTCTTGCCTCTGCCTCAGCCTTCACCTGAAGCCAGGTAAGCCTTCTGTTCTGAAGTCAAGTTTTCTTCTACACAGTACTTCCAGAATGAGAGCTCCTACGGCTAGAAAGGTACAGGTAATATTTTGGCCACCAATTTAGATCCTGCTTAATTATATCATATCAGTCTTCTGTTGTTCTTGAAGAAAATAGCATGTGTGCATAATTGTATCATTTTCAGAGACAGGATATCCGTGATTGCTGCAGGAGACTGGAGCGAGGGCCATATTTAATGGGGATATTTGGACACTCGTTTAAGGTTGGTGTAGCCTTTCTCCGTCTTTTCCTGTTGTCACTCTTTAGGGGAAACATTGTTTTTTCGTTTTTTAGAGACGGGGTTTCATTATGTAGTTCAGGCTGGCCTTGAACTCACTCTGTGGCCTGGGCTGGCCTCAAATGCCTGATAATCCTCCTGCCTCAGCCTCTCTAGTGCTGAGATTACAAGCATGCCCCACGACTGGCTAGTGGAGACTTTTTAGAAAATTTTTTTTTCCTAAGTGCCCACCAACGCAATATTAATGCCACAAATGTACTACATATGTTTCTGTAGTATGTATTTATACATTTTACCCAAAAAGTTATCTTTCCTACCATCCAATTCCCAATTTTGTCTCATTTGAGAATATGTGATTACCCACATGAGTGTTTTGTTATCTGTAAAGTAAGGCAGGTGAATAACGTCTGATATTCCCTTAGTGACCCAAAATATCTCAGTTAGTTACTTCTAAGTAAAAGTATTGAATTTGGTCATCTATTGAGAGAGAGAGAGAGAGAGAGAGAGAGAGAGAATTTGTAATGTGGAAACATTAACGTCTCCGTGGACCTAAATAAATTTTTTTAAAACTTCAGTTAATAGTATCTACTGTGTTCTCAGCCAGTTTAACTAAAATTTTAACCAAATCCTCCTTGATATTATGGAAATAGTTTTATCTGCTGGCCAAAAGATTATCCTTTGCCAGAGTCTTTTTGTAGAAATTTCTTTTTTAGACTTCTGCTGGGGAATCTCGTTTTATCCCCACTCCACACCCATGGGGCAGACATGACTCGTACCATCCTGTAGAGATCAGAAGTGAGCTGATAAAGATCATGGCCACCGTGAGTCAGACGATTGGGACTTCTGTCCCTTCCTGTCATTAAGCCATCTCTCTTCCCCAAACACCTAGGCACCCTGTGGTTAAAAGCCATTGCAATTTCATCTCTACCACCCTCAGTGAGGGCTTTGCTCTGCGTTTAGAATGCTGTGTCCACCTCCTTGTCTGCTCTATTCCTGTGGGTGTAGGGCAGATGCCTCTGGGAGGTGTTCCAGTGCCCACTCACCCACCGATGGATCTGAAAAGCTACAGACTCAGCTCCCTTGTAGGACAAGATGCGGTGTATGCACACCCGTCCAGGCATTTCCTGTGTGCGCTCACACACGCAGAGACTGCGCATCACACCTGACTCGGCTTAGGTGCTGGGACATAGCTGTTACACTGCATCGAGTAGGAGCCACGGACAAGGGAAAGCCCGCACACATTCGGTATAGGCACAGTTTATTTCAGATACTTTCTGTCTGGGGTTGGTTAAATCTATGCATCTGTGAGCCTTGGACAGGGAGGGAGTACTACCAGGAAACCACCCGTAAAGCAACACACAGAGTTGAGGATGTTTACCAGGTGGTGTGTGTGTGTGTGTGTGTGTGTGTGTGTGTGTGTGTGTGTGTGTGTGTTTTGTAGAGTTTCCCAGATGGAACCACAAATAATCCTAAGAGATAAATAAAAGAAATCACCGTTGTAACTTCCCATCTCTTATTCTACTTTTCTTTGATCCTTCTTACTGAAGTCTACTACCACTTCTCAGGTTATTTTAATTTTATTTCAGATGCTACCTCTGGGAAGAAAATTTGTATTATTTAATGCAACCCTTAAATTTCATGTACATATATATTCTCCCATTCTCTCTCTCTCTCTCTCTCTCTCTCTCTGTGTGTGTGTGTGTGTGTGTGTGTGTGTGTGTGTGTGTGTGTATCCCGGTACCAGGGATCGAACTCAGGACCTTACACTTGCCAGGCAGGCACAGTGCCACTGAGCTACATCTCCTACTCTTGGCTTGGGACAGAAAACTTGTGCTGCAGATATCTGCACCTCCAACTGGGTAATAAGCACATGAACTACTCTGCTCTACCTTCAGGGAGAGACTCTAACACTACTTTCATTCACAGCTCTTAAGGTAAGGAGCAGCCTGTTCCAAAAGGTCACTAGCCGGGTGCAGGTGGTCACAATATTCACTGGCCAAGTTGGTAGCAAGCTTCACTTATCGATGCTGGTTATCTTTGCCACTTCCAGTCAGTGGAGCGAGAATGCTCCTGGGAAAGTGTAAGATACAGAGGGAGTGGGAAGGTCCGGAACAGCTGTTGGGAGAAGGAAAAGATGTAGCAGGGAGATCCTTTCTGCAAGTCACCTTCACGATGGGGACAAGAATCTGGGGTTGGGACGCTGGAGGGGAGGAGCTGTGACCACAAGGCTTTGAGCGGTCTGCAGTTCATAGAGACGGCGAGGAGGGTCTGCGTGGTTGGTACAAAGATAGGAGAAGCCTGGCGTTGTCACCAGAGCACAACACAAGGGAAAGGCCTTCTGGAGGGGCAGGGAGAGTCTTAATGGGCAGCTGTGAAACTGGAGCTTCTGCTCCTTCACGTGTTTGAGCACAGAATCAGAATTATTACTAACATTTTCAATATTAGAATCATAAGTTCTCTGGGTTGGGGAAAACAATAAAAGTTGTCTTTCTGGCCAGCCCCTCCTTGGCGTGTGAGCCGTGGTGTTTCTGGTCTTCGTCGCCGCCCCCGGAGCACCGCTTTCCCCCGGCCTCCTTGTTAGACATCTGTGATGCATAATGAACGCGTCCTCTCGTCCCAGGGCATCCGGCATCCGATCCTTCTGCTTCTCCTCCTCTCCCAGGCTCCCTGCCCAGCTCCACATAGTCTCCCTCTGTGCTTCTTATCATCTGCCTTTTATTTTGCTCTTTTAGTTACTTACACGTTGGGATTTTCGCACAGGAGAAACTGTGATATTTAACCTTCTGCGTCCGGTTTATTTCCAACACGCCACGTTCTTGAAGAGACCTTCCCGTCAGAAGCCCCTAACTCCCTGTCTCTCTGTCATTCTCCCCATTTTAATGGAAAGCACAAAAATGCATGACTTTGTATGTTTATTATCAGCTTCCTATGCTACTCTTAAAAAATGAGTGCTATTTGGAGGCCTTAACTAGCAGCATTATACTGCTGGAGGCCACAGGCCCACAGTCGCTGTCACTGCGTGTAAGGCAGGAGTGGACCGGGCCGGGTCCCTTTGAAGTCTGTTTCCTGCCTGCTCTGCTCCTAGGGTCTCTGTCTTTGCATTCCTTGGCTCGTGGCACCTTCTGCCTTCAGTAAATTCCAGGAGGAGAATTTCGCCTTCATGGTGACTCCTCTCTTCCGCGCTCGTGGAGTGCCTGCCTGGATGATCTCGTCCGACCTCCTGTGGCCAGGGCCATGACTCCATAGTGCCTGAGGAGTTCCCTGGGCACGGTTTCTGGAGATGAGGACCCGGAGGGCTTTGGGACCATCTCTCAGCCTCCCACAGAGAATATGTAAGGAAGACCAGTCACTGGTACTCTTCTGATGTGCCTCGGAAATCCCCCAGCATCTTGTCTGATCTCAACCTGGCCCTTTCCACAGAAGTGACCTCATTGTAGGAAAACAAAACAAAAGAAAAATGTGCCAGGTATAAAGTTTTGATTGCAAATGGGTAGACTGAATTGTAGGAAGCTGCCTATAGCATCCACAGAAGACTTTAATCTCTCTCCTCAAAACTATTTTTGTAGAAAGTGCTACTCTGAAGCGTATAGTCATCACTTTTTCTATGTCTCATTATGGTTTTTCTTACTGTGTGTCCTTTGTGGCTACATATTAGTCTTGTTCATTTTTTATTTTTAATTTTTTTTAATTTTTTTTGAGACAGGGTCTCACTATGTAATCGAGACTGACCTGGCACTCACTATGTAGCCTGGGCTGGTCTCGAACTCACAGCGACCCTCCTGCCTCAGCCTCCCGAGTGCTGGGATTACAGGCATGCGCCACCACGCCTGGCTTAGTCTTGTTCATTTTTTAAAAATTCTTAGGGGTGGATTTTTGAGTCCATGAACTTAAAATCTACAAGTTCTTCCTTCTGTTTTCATTTGGTAAAGAAGTCGGAGCATCTGACCCATAGTTTCCCACGGTGTACACGTTGAAGGTCGCAGTCCACCGTGCTACTCTGCCCTTCCACTCGGTACTGACTGGTACGTGGGTCTGAGACAAGGTCAGACTGGGTCCCATCTCCACGTCACCTCCAGGTGGCGTGTTGTCCTGTGGGGATGCACCACGTCTGGCTGTGTCTCTCTCGGAGACCTTAGCAGCTGCGAATGCTCCTTCCCTAAGTTCATCACTCACTGAGATTCCACAGTGGTGATTTGGAATTTCGTCTCTTTTTCTATCAGTGTGTGAGGTATTTATAATAATATCTTCTCTTATTTGTTATTTGGTTAGCACGGATATGGCATGTGTACAAAAGTATGTAAATGCTTGATTCCCTCTCCATATTTATTGCTTTTCAAAATGCAGTGCTCAGTGCCCCGTCTTTTTAATGTCATTATAAAAACACATATTCTAACATATTTAATGCTTTTCAGTCAGTTGCAGTTCTAGTCCTTTTCGAAGCTGAAATCGTTTCACTTCTGGTCAGTGGGAACCCTGGCAGGATGGCTTCTCGGAGCTCTCAGCATGCACAGTATTGGCTGCGGACAGACAGATTCCATGTTCTTCTGTGTGGACGTGATGTTCATACACGTTTTAATGCCCTGGCCAGGGCCTCCCAGATGACAGCCTGGGTACTGGAGTGCAGGCCCCATAAGAGCTCTGGGAAAGAATACTGAGCACGCGCACGAGTGTGTGTGTGTGTGTGTGTGTGCGCGTGCAAGTGCATGTGCCAGGATGCTTTGTCACCTAAATGTCCTAAGTTCTTAGTTTTGCCATCTTTTCCCTGGTGTCTCTCTTTAATCTACACGTGTGTAGATTGTGAAGCCACCACCTTCTCCCTTAGAAAGTAGGCCGTGCTCTGTCCTTCCGGCCTGTTCTGTTTGACATCACCCTGGCCCCACCCTACTGCTCTTCCTCTGGAGATGATTTACAAACACCAAAGAGCCAGCAGTGCAGGCCCCAGGGCACAGGCAGCCCCGATTGTTGGTGTCTGTCGCACACCAGATGTGACCCTGAAGACACTTTGCATATTTCTAACACTCAGCTCCGTCTTAAAAGGTTTACCACCATCAAGAAAGTCAGGAATGAGCTACAAGCTATGAAGACAATTTCCTAATAGAACTTGGGCATTCTGGAGAAGCTACGCCCATGCCTACGATAATTACTATTTTTATCATGGAGAAGGGCAATGTTTTTATTCCAGGGAAGGGGAAAAATATTTTCTCTTTTACTGGCTTTAAGACTCTGAATTTTGAAGCTATAGATATAAAGGATTTTGGCTTTTTTCCCAGAGTAAATACATTCCTAGTCATGACCCAAACTATGATTCTGTTCATCAGATTAACATAGTGAAGTTACAGAAGGGTTCTATTTTACTATTAGATATTAAAGACCAATGTATGAATGCCAGTGTATGTAACATTTGCACTCTGCTTACCTTTTGAAATCTTATGTCTTTTTAAACAGCATTCATTTGTTTTATTGTCCAGTTTAGTAGTTATCAACCTTAACTTGACAGAATCACCTTGATATTTTAAAAATACTACTACCCTTGAGCTGGGGGTTTAGCTCAGTGGTTCTGCCGCCTGCTTTGCAATCACCTGAGTTCAATCACTGGTACCAAAAAAAAAAAAAAAAAAAAAAAATACTGCTACCTTGGATCCAGCCCCAATATTTTGATTTAATAGGTCTGGGCATGGGCCCAGGTCTCTAGGTTCTTCACCAGCCCTGCCAGGGTCCTTAATCTGCAGCCCAACCCTGCCTAGTTAGTTCATAAAGCTATGGTCTCCATTCGGAAGCTTAGTTGGTTTCTATCAGCATACATATTGGTAGTTTCCTTTGAAGCATAGTTAAAAAGAAACCAATACTAACAACCAGAGCTAAATAATTACATAAATTAATGTCAGTTTTGTTGAGCTTGGCATCATTGTGTGAATTTAAGCCCAAAGAACAAAACCAATGAAAGCTATAGAGCCAGAACTTGAACTGGGACCCCTAATGGAGATTAATATTTTCTTCAGCAGTCTGCCAGCTGAATCATGGTCTAATTAAATAGTTCAGATTTAGTGAGTTTGCATTTAAAGTATTAGCAAATCCAAGAATGGGTAAAGCGAAAATGAGTTAGAATCTTTTCTGTAAATGGGAAGTTAAATTATCATAGTAATTTGATTAAATCATTTTTAAATCTCTCAAGCTAAATCACAGCCTTTAAAGAATAGTTTGAAGTCTTAATTGCTGTTTGTGAGCATATCTCCGCGCTATTTGCTCTCGCCTCGTTTCCTGTGACACCCTCTCATATATCTCCCGCCGCCGGGCTCACGGAGCAGCTTCGGGTGAGGACTGGGCCGGTGGCCTTCGCTGACTGCCGGGTGCCGGAAGGTGCAGGCACGGACAGAGGCACGGGACCCTGGTGTCCCCAGCCAGGACCAGAGCAGGGCTTTGGAGGCGAGGAGAGGTGCAGGCAAAGACTTAGCTCTTCCTGTCCCACGTAAAGAAGGACGCTTCGTGCACCGCTGGAAATGCCTTCATTGGGAGGGCACTGGCGCGGGAGGTGGGAATTTCGGTTGCCACCAGGGAGCGCTGGGCTCCCCACAGTCTACAGCCTCATTCGTTCAGAGGCCCGACTGCTGCGCTTCACTGCAGCGCCATTTGGGGATGAAAGGAAGCTAAGGTTTCCCCAAATGGATGCTTGGGAGGCCACACCACCATTTTATTCTTTCTTTGGGTGTAGCTGGAAAACAGTTACCCCGTTTTACTTCCATTTTGTCTTAGAGGAGGTGGTGACGGTAGACCCAGGTGAGTCAGCTGAGTCTCTTCTCCATTCCCTTCAGTACAGGTCTTAGGACATTATCACCTAGAGCCTCACTGCCGGGCTTGCCTGTGCCTCGGCTCTGTTTCTCCTTCAGGTGGCTCTGAGCTGCGAAAATAGAAATAAAAAAGCATCAGGGCGTGTGGCCATCACATCCATGGCTGTTTTCATGACTTGACGGTATCAACCCCGGGACCTTCCAGAAATACGTGCACTTGTGTCCAACACGGGACACTGCAGGAAGTGCGGGCCCAGCAGGGGGCAGGAGCCAGGCAGGAGAGGGGCCTGGATGGATGCAGTCCTGGTGGAGGGTCCAGCGTGCCCACACTGTCCCCAGACCTGCTGCACACCAGCCCCACTGCGAGGAGCTCTGTATCCCAGCTTTACTAAGCAGGAAAGGAGTTTTAAGCAGTAAAGACTCTAAGCATTATATTCCTGATGACTCAAGTCGTTTTAAAGAACTGTGCCACTGCCTAATGTAACTAGTGGTTAATTAATTCACAGTGAAATGATTCAAAATGAAATTGCAAAAGAAAAAATGATCAAATACACAAGTTTAAAAACATGACTGGTTATATCCATCTACCCTTAAATCACTTTGCCTATTTTTAAAAAATATTTAGCCACTTAATTTTAAATGACTTTTCCCCTTTTTTATTTGTGAGATTCATATTTGAATTGTAGGGAAAATTGGGCTAACTTCATATATCTCAGAGCTCAGCGATCTCCAAGTACTAGAATTATTAAACCAGAAGAATCCCCAAAGACACCATTATGTGTAATTAACAGATAAACTGTCATCAGAATCAATAAAATGTGCTAAATGATTCAAACTTTTATATAATTGTGTGTTTTAGCGCTAGAGCTATAACGTCTATTTTTTTCCCCACATCTCACATTTCTCTGAAGAAAACATTGTGTCAGCCTTGTTAACCCCTTCCCATGCTCAGTCGAGTTCGATTTTCAAACTTATCTTTTAGGCGCAAAGTTCACCTTCACAGATGTGAGAAAATATTTCCCAACTCGGTAATCTGACCACATTCTGTTTTCAAGCAAGGAAACAGAGCGTATCAGGATGCCGTAATGAACTTGACCAGTACCTTAAAATTCTAAAAGGCTTGTGCTTAAGACAGTGCTAGACTCAGGGTATTCGTGTGGAGTTGGTAATTAAGATCTTAATCATGGACTTTCTTCCCCCTTGGGAAATAGGGAAGTTTTCAGGGAGATCAGGATCTTACACTGTACCGCAGACGCACTTCGGGTAATACTTTTAATAGATGGCCTTCTGGAACTTTTGTTGGATGAATGAATACGTGAATAAAGGCAAAGAATAAGATGGCCGTGATTACAATCTGCCAAAAGCAACTCTTGTCTTCCTCAGTCCGAGGAGGAAAAGCATGGATCTTTGATAATAATTCCACGACCAAATCTAGAATTAGAAATCACTGTGATGAAACGGGGGGGAGGTGTTGAGAAAGGTGCACCTCTGAGCCAAGGAAGTCGCAGACGGTGCTGCGCGGTGCTGGGCTTGGGCCTTTGCCTCAGCCTCCGCCGTGCGTGGGGCGGGTGCCGGGCGGCCCAAACAAGGATATGCAAATTCTAATTTGGAAACCCATGAGGTCCATGTAGCCTGGCACTGGCAATCTATTTAAAACCTGAATATTTGTTTTCATCCCGACTGTGTAGCTCCTTAGATTTTGTTTCTCAGATTGTTTTCCCCAGAACAAGATAAGACATGCACATAGAGGACGTGGAAGCCGTGCAGAAGCTGCAGGACGTGCTGCACGAGGCCCTGCAGGATTACGAGGCGGGCCAGCACATGGAGGACCCGCGCCGGGCCGGCAAGATGCTCATGACGCTGCCGCTGCTCCGGCAGACCTCCACCAGGGCGGTGCAGCACTTCTACAACGTCAAGCTCGAAGGCAAGGTGCCCATGCACAAACTGTTCTTGGAGATGCTGGAGGCCAAGGTCTGACTAAGGGCTCCCTGAGCCTCCCACTGTGCACGCTGAGAGAGGGAAAACCCGAGAGTGATGGCGAAGAAACTTCAAATTTAGTTAAGAACTAAACAAATATCGACAAAGACTGCACTGATATTTTAGCAGCAAGGCCGTGAAGCAGCTTTCCACTTCCTCCGTGTGTTCCTGATGAATTTATGTCTGCTTTATCGCTCATCGTCCTTCTCCGTCCCCCATTCCCTTCCTTTTATTTTCTTTTGTTGTTGCTGTTGTTCCTTGGGGATCGAACTCGGGTCCTTGCGCTTGCGAGGCAGGTGGCGGAACCACTGAGCTAAATCCAGGCCCTTTCCCTTCTGTTTTCTTTCTCTCCCTCGTTCTCCCTCGCCCTCATTTTTTGGCTTCCTTAATGGTTGGTTTCTGGCTGTCACATTTCCTTCCTTCCTTCCCCCTGTGCTTCCGCTTTTTCTCTTATCCTCTCCCTTCCTACAGAATTTCAGTAACTCTAAATTCTCAGCAAATGTTCCTTCCGCCCACCTCTCCCTGCTTCCCTCGTCTTTTCTCTTCCATCCTGCTTCCGCTTTCCATCTCCCTTTCCTTTCCTCCTCCTCTTCTATTTCCATTTCTTTCCTTTCCTGTCCTGCCTTCCTCCCGCTGCTGAACTTTTAAAAGAGATCTCTAAGGGAAGCAAGATGGAAACCAGCCCTGCCAAAGGATGGAGATCCCGGCTATGGATACCAGTGAGCTCTCTGCGAACTGTCCCGTCCCCGGTGACTGAGGAATCAAAGAGAAGCAACGTACCTGAAAGGACCGTGCAACACAGCGAATGGACTGAGTGCAGTATTAGATTTCACGGGAGCAGCCTCTAATCAGACAACTCGAGCGACGTTGCACCGGCTGCTAGTTATCATTGCTTTTCCATCTAGATCAGTTACAGCCATTTGATTCCTTAATTGTTTTTTCAAGTCTTCCAGGTATTGGTTAGTTTAGCTACTATGTAACTTTTTCAGGGAATAGTTTAAGCTTTATTCATTCATGCAATACTAAAGAGAAATAAGAATACTGCAATTTTGTGCTGGCTTTGAACAATTATGAACATTAATGAAGGACATATGAATCCTGAAGGAAGATTTTTAAAAAAAATGTTTTGTTTCTTCTTACAAATGGAGATTTTTTTGTACCAGCTTTACCACTTTTCAGCCATTTATTAATAAGAGAATTTAACTTACTCAAGCAATAGTTGAAGGGAAGGTGCATATTATAACGGGTGCAATTTATGTTGTGTACCAGTCCAGTCCCGAACATCGATCTCTGTACCTGAGCTCCACTTCACCCAGTTCACTGACACCAGGATTAGATGACACCCGTGGGGACCC